GAGAAAAAATGGCCTAGAGACTAGAACGAACTGGCAAGTGACTGAGGAGTGAAACCGGGTAATATAGTGAGCAACCTAATCAAGTGCAGCTGGTGATAAGGGAGTGAGGAACAGGTGAACGTGATTAGTGTTAATGGGTAAGAGACAGTAGGAAAGGTGAGGGAGGCCAGAGCGGCCGAGCAAACCTGACATGATGTGAAACTTTTGAACTTTCATGCCTTTGTACTTTTTAACACAGCCACTGATTGTCAAAATTTATAGATGTGTTTTGAGGTCTAATTTAGATGACAGAACTTAATGCATAAATTAAACTTCCTTCAAAACAGAGAAGTACTCTGGTCCCATGCCCACAAATACAGATTCTGATATTACAAGGAATTATTCCACTGACTCGTGGCAGACATCCTACAGTCTCTCAGTATTGTCAGAGTCTCTTGGCCCTCTTATACAGACAACCTTGCCAGTAATCTGCGACCTGCCCCAGGAGCTGTTGATACAGTTCTACAGAGGAATCATCCAGTCTGTTCTCTGCACCTCCATCACTGTCTGTTTTGGCTCAGCAACCAAACAAGACAATTACAGACTTCAGCGGACAGTGAGGACTGCAGAAAAGGTCATTGGTGTGAACCTGTCCTCCATGAAGGACCTGTACACCTCACGGGCCAAAAGGAGGGCGGAGAGATTCACTGCAGACCCCTCACGCAATCTGTTTGAACTCCTCCCCTCTGGACGGTGTTACAGGTCACTGTGCACCAAGACAACCAGGCACAAGGACAGTTTCTTCCCCCAGGCTGTCACTCTGATGAACACTTAACCAACGACAGTATGACTGGACAATAACCCTCAGTGCAACACCTGTATATATACATTGTACAGATTATACAGACTCGTACAAGTTTCTAGTTTTAAGTACTCTGTTTTTATCCCTTATCCCTATTTATCTCATTTTAACGAACATTCCTTGTTGTCTGCATTGTTTACTGTCTGTTTATACTGCTTATTCTGCATTGTTTGCACTGTTTGTTATTACTGCTTATTTTGTTATATTACACAGCCTTATGCTGGTTTATTGTTTGCACATTGAGAGCCGATGTACCTGAGTCAAATTCCTCATGTGTCCAACACACCTGGCCAATAAAAGTGATTCTTATTCTAATGTTATGTAATTCCTTCAGTGACCTCTAAATAAGTCATAGCCAAGTTTGAAAAAGAAGAAATAGCTATGTATACCAACACAGTATAGACCACTACTCCTGCAGCTGCTGGCAGTCACACTCAAAATTAAAATATATAATATTTATGACAGTCCTTGAACACTAACAAAAGCCATGCTTTCTCTCAGTGATTAATAATATATTACATCCAATAATAAAAGGTAATCAGATGACCGTGGGTTACAGAGTGGCATGTCTGAAATCAGATAAACGGCACCGCTTCACACACATCAGAATCACAGACACTCACTTCTCTTCCATGTTCTCTCTCGCTCTAACTCTGCAACACAAGTATAAACATATTTTTCTTTGCCTTAGCCAAAATATGAGCTCCTGGCTTTATCAACTGATATAAAATTTCCTTACATTTCCTTATACATAAGTGCTTTTGTTAAACTTGTACAAAATATATATTAATACAAAATTCAACAATCTTTTCTTTCCTGCAAGGCGCATTTTGTCTTTCGAGAAGTTACAATTCAAAGGAGACAGACAAACAGCACAAACAGTGCTATCAGAATAGAGGATAAAGTCCCCCCAACCCACACACACACACACATACATACTGAGTTCCTTGCAATACAGTTGCACTATCTTTCATCAGCACTATTGTGTTTCATGCTGAAAACAAAGCTCTGAATTGCCATACTGTCAGTGCTTTAGCCATCAAAATAAGAGGCTTCTCAGCAAGACTGAGCTCCACTTTTAATCACTGTCTCTGATTGATTATGCCCGCCCAAAGGTGCACACTTTGCACTGAAAAAATCACCATGAATATTTGACAAATAGACCTCCTCTCTAAATATATTGCTAAATATATTCCCATTGCTGGAAATTATGTACTGTACATCTAGACCATGTGTGTGCCCACTGGCATGTTCTGTGTACATAGATTGTTTTGCCTTTAGGTGGGAACATGCTTGATTAAAAGGTTAAAAAGGACCTGTAGTGTTTATTTTTGCACCTGGTCTGCTATATGTTCTGTATATTTTAATTGAACTGACTCAGGGAGAAATGAGTTTAACAGGTACCAGGTTTTATACAATAAAACACTCCACTCTTCTTGGATAAAGAAGTGAAGAGAAAACTAACTTAAGAAAATATCTGTTGTTCCCCAAAGAAGACATAGTACAGAGAGGATTTGATATAGTGCAGCAAGTTTGTAGTAACTTTTGTATGATGGCTGTAAAGAAAATCTAAAACAGGCCTTGTTGCACTGCCGGTGGTTCTCTTTCACATATTGTTTAAAGTTACCAAAGTCATAACCTTAAGAAGTCAATACTGCAGTGTTGACAAAGCAGTTGAGCTAAGGATCACAAAGTCTCAGATGCTGTATTATTTATTTCTGCTCAAGCTCAAGTGGAGAATCTTCAAGTTTCCTCTGTCTCAAGAAAAATGAAGCACTGCTGAATAAGCAAATGTTATGCATCGGATAGGTATTTCAAAGTCCTTCCCTTTCCGCTGTAATGTATTTGCATAGGAAGTGCTTGTTATGGAAAACAAACCAACCGAAAGCATGCAGATCATGCACAAGTGCTTCAAAGCACAAGGTCAAAGTACTATGGGAAATGAGTGTCTTGTGCGTAAACTTACTTAGTGATATTCTTTATTCTGCTGCAGGTATCCCTAAATATTTTCTGCACTCTCAAACAACATAAACATGCAAATCCAACAATTTTTTTTTCGTCTTAGTCTTTCTTTCTCTCCAGTGGAATAATTTTGGATTACCAGGAAGCAGGCACACTATCCTCTGGCCTTGCTGCAGCTCTAGTGTTTTATGTGCTACACTTAAAGACAGTCAGTGGTGGAAGAAATACTCAGATCCCTTAAGTAAAAGTAATAATTCAATAGTGTAAAAATACTCTGTTACAAGTAAAAGTCCTGCATTCAGAATGTTACTTATGTAATCATACAGTAAAGTATTAGCATCAAAGTGTTACAAGTAAAAGTATTCATTATGCAGAATGGCACATTTAACATTAATGTTGCATTAATTTGATTTGATTAAGTACTGATACATTATTTTGTTCATTACATTTAATGTTGCAGCTGGTAAATGGGAACTACAGTAGTTTTAACTAGCATATATGCTTATAATCTGAATTACTGCTGGGTAGCTTGTGAATTTGCCACCGGAGATCAATAAAGTCTTATGATAATACTGTAATTTTAGCACTAATCTGGTTCTGAAAACTAATTAGTAACTATAGTTATCAAATAAATGAAGTGGAGTGAAAAGCACAATATTTACCTCTAAAATGTAGTGAAGTCGAAGTATGAAATAGTACAAAATCAAAATACCCAAGTACAATACAAAACCTAGACACTTCCAGTAAGACATTTTCACAAGCATACACAAGACCCTGCTCCTTTCATCACTAACCCAACTTCACTTCACAAACACACACTCACAAGAGGAAAGGGAATGAAACTTTGTGCTCACCCAGGGTTTGATGAATCTCACCCGACATGGGGGTGGGTGGGAGGCTGTTGATATTGAGCGCCCCCATCTGGTGGATCTGTGTGGCAGGGAAAGCCACGCTAGGCGTGAGGTAACCTCCGTGGCTTGCTGCCATGATGGCTGCCTGCTGCTGCATGAGCTAAAGAAGAGGGACATGGAGAGATGGGTGGTGGAAGGGAGAGTTGGATAGGATGTGTGAGAGTGAGAGGGAGAACGAGATGTGAGAGTTGAGAGGAGGACAGATGGTAATGAAAAATATAGTAAGTTGTGAACAAGTCAGACAAAGATGAGAGAAGGGGAGCGAGAGAGGAGAGAGAAACATGGCAGGGCTTGAACAGAGGGAGGGAGGGATGTTGAGGTTGATGGATAGATAGTGCATGGAAAATACAGAGAAAGTAGAATGGAATAAAAGAAAGGGAAGAAAAAAGAAGCCTGTCAACCTATGTTTAGTGAATCTGTCTCTCCTCCCAGCAGGGAGCTTGTCACCAGCTGCAGAAACGATTTAATAGTTGTCCGTTGGGCTCATACAAATCAAGGCATTGACATGTGCACATTATTTCTGTGTTTAGGGAACAGGCAAAGTTTATAGAAGAGCTGCAATGTGTTTTCCTTACTATCGTGAAGCTTCACAATACTCTGTTGGACTGCATAGAACTGCAAGAGAAATCGTCTACTCTCCTGTAATTTTTTTAATTTTTTTGATTTATAATGATTGCTGCTTGTAGCCTGACACTCATTCAGAGTTTCGAATTTTGCTTTGCTTTAGAGCTCAGTTGGAAACCACTAACACTGTCTCTGGGCTACTTTTATTAAAATAGATGGCATTTTACAAACAGAATGCATTTGGGAGTGGAACCACGTTAAATGACAAACAAACACTTTGATCTGTGGTCAAGTACTGTAGACCTCCACTCAGCCTGTTTCAAAATTCTGAGTGATTTAAACAATATTTTTAAAGGGGGGCATAGCTTGCAGCTCAAATTCAAGATCATGCTAGTAACAGAGCATGTTAACTGGAAGATACTGTAACAGGGACAGGTGACTTTCATCCATTATCTACTCAGCATAAAGTGAGAGGTGCAACTATTTTCCATCAAATGCAGCCCACAGTGTTTATTCATATGTATAACACATGCTCACATGCACCGTTGCCCTGCACTGCACTCACACACAAACACACGCATCCACACAACATGCATGAAAAGCAATAGAGACTATATGAGTTTGCACAACTCAGCTTAAATTCTCCCTGTGCAAAGTACATGCTGAATGCCTGATACAGAAGAAAATCCATCACTGTACAATGGCTTTTGCAGCTTGTGAACCAGTGGGTTTATCTAGCAAATCAATAATGTTTTGCAGGTTGTGTAGCTGCCCATCAGGCATGCAGACCTGTGTGGTATAAGAATACGAATATGGATGGACCGACCTCTTACACCCATTTCTGCATCTGTTTAATACTGCATAGCTGCCTGGTGTCTAGGGAGCTGCTGATGGCCTTGGCCTGAGATTCATTCATATAAGCAGAAATCAAACTCCTCTGCCACTGGCACTAATGCTAATGACAATATTGTGAGACAGTGAAGGTATAGAATGCCACTCTCGTTCTATTTGCATGGAGACCCTGCAAGAGAAAAGCCAATTATTTTCCCTCAGTGCCCCTGTCAGGTAACCTGAAAGCGGCTGTCCCAGTGTAAAATGCCCAGCACTGGCATCTCATCCATTAGCCACATGCCTTGCCACTGCTATCTATTAATGCCTTTTGTCATTTGCATAATTTTATCAATGTGACAAATGGGGTTCTTCCATTCCTTTCCACATAAGATGAATTGAGCTGTTAAGGGGGGCATAGCTGCAAAAGACAGCAAGGGAGCACGAAACTAAACAAAAGCATGACATAGAAGCAAACAAAGAGGTCTAGAGGATCTGGGGCTCCCTTGCTCTGGCACTGTTGTGACTGCCCCCTATTAGGATGTGAATAGGGTTGGACTTCAGCATGAAGGCTCTGACTGGGCTGGTATTACAGAATAAATACACTGTCACACCGCTCACTTTTTTTTTTTTTTTTTTTTTGTCTTTTCTCTGGCTCAGGGAGGACTGGAGATTTATGGCTGACTCTAATAAGCTTGCAGCCTATTCACTGTGGGCCTTGTGGCCTTATACAAGCTGCAGGCCTGGGTGGAGTAATAATGGAGTGGGAGTGAGCACTAGTGACTTTAGAATATTAGCCTCTCTCCTAATGCAAGTCTTCGATAATGCAGTCCTTAATGCCATCCGTCAGATTGTCATGGATAACAGCTCTGGCATTCACTGATGTTTCGTTTGAAATTAAAATGCAGCAAATTGGAAACTCAAGCATGTAATTATGTTGGGATGCAGTGGTTATTACAAACTGGCTCTGATAAAAAATAAAATAAAATAAAATGAAGAGCTGAAAGCAGAGCAGTTATGTTGACAGAGATATTAAAGATCATTCCATTTCACTTTTCATATGCACACACTTCTTTCTTCTTTTTTCAAAATTTCAAAGGCATTATAATCAAAAGCCATTCCTATTTCTTTATTTTTGCACTACCCAGCAAATGTCTCCGGTGGAGAATGAGCACGACCAAGTTCATCATCACAGACGCAACCTTTTCCAACCTTTTCTGTTTCCTCTTAAAAAGAAATCAAGAGGGAAGAAAAGGCAGACAGAAAGAAGGGGAACAAAAAAGAAAAAAGCACATGAGATGAAAGGGAGCGAAGAAAGTTGCTCGGGCTCTAGCAGCATTCATTTAGTGTCAGACATCTGCTTTTTTATTGCAACCTGATGGCATTACTCTCCCTTGGTGCCAGCAGGCAATCACCTCTTTATCACATGGCAATTATCTCTGTAGCGCTGCTTTGTGACTCGCTGACTCTCAGCACAGTCACATGTGACCCCTTATAGCCCCACCAGCCGGGGACGAAGGGAGGTGGGGTGTGTGGGGGGGGGGACAAAGCAAGGCAAAGGGGGTGGGAAGCGGGTGGAAAAGGTTGAAAAAAAAATCAGAGAGAGAAGGAGACAGTGGGTCAATGAGGTGAACTAAGAGACTGAAAACAGAAGACTGAAGCTTAAGGGCTTCATTTGCCACCTCCATGCTAGCAGACTGTATTTCCACAACAAGATTTTTTTCATCTCTGATGTACTTAGCTATATATGTACATGTATGTAGACACATGCAGGGGCAGTCAAGGACTAGTCCTCACAAGTATAACACATCTAACACAGGTCACACACATAATTTTGTGTGTATGTGTGCATGCAGTTTACAGTACAGCTGAATGATGCAGTACTCTGTTAACATCATTTCTCATGTGTGCTGTGTTGCAAAAGGCTCTCCTCCAACAGGGGGAGATGTTTCCTAATGTGAGTTTACAGTCATCATCCTCCCTCTCATCCACCCACACACTTGTCACTATTAGCACAAAGTTAAACCATTTTCTCTCCTCTCATTTATCTATCTCACACTCAGTCTAATGCATGTTTTACGGAGGCAAGAGGGTGCTGGAGGTGTCTAAAATTTCTCTCTTGTCCTCTGACACAGGATGTAGTCCTCCACCTAAAGAGACCAAGATAAACTAAAATGGCTGTCTTCACAAAGAGCTTTAGCAGATGAGGGAAGAAAAGTGACTTGAATGAAATACAACAACATATAAATACGATGTTTGTTTCTTGAAGGGGAAATACAAAAGGTAATAAAAGCAGGCAACACTTGCATTCAGCAATTCATGAGAAAGCTATTATCAGTCACCACTAACACTGGAATGAAACATGGAATATCGCTGTCTCCCTCTCCTTTGGCTTGTGCTTTATGAAATCACCTTTTTTTTTTGCAAATAGGATGTCTCCTGTCAAAGCACACTGAGTGTCTGTTTCTATCATAAAAATGGCACATTTCTCATTTTTGGCATATGTTGTCAGTGTTGTACCCCTCCAATTTGTGTTCAGAGCCCCCCTCCTTCTCCTGGTTTGACTAAAATCCAATTTACTAGCTGTCAGCTCAGCTCTATAATCCTATCCACTGCTGTAGTGGAGGGGTTGCTCTTTGAATTTACCATTTACTGTACTCCCTGATTCTAGCTACCTGTATATACATCGTCTCTCCCTACATCTGTATTCTATACTGTGCCATCACCTCTTCTACTGGCTAGTGTATATGGAGAGTAGGTGAACATGTAGTGTGTTTTTTGAGATAAAGTCCTTTTCCTGTCACTACAGGTTTTTCATCTTGGGAGAATATGTGTAGTTTATCTTACTGTAAAGAAGCATTCATCATATCACTTTAGTACACTCCCGGTGGCTACTGGGTAATCAAGACTACACACCATGAGCATGTAGCCAGCACCCATCACTGTAATGTAATCATAACTGCTACTCAAGCTGCACATCCAAACTAGAGATAACTAATATTTTCCTTTATTCCATGTTATTTCCTAGCTAGCAGTCCAAATGAGTATTTAAATTCATTAAATAAGTCTTTAGTGAAACATGAAAGCATGAGTCTCACTGATAATCCATTACTGTGTTTTGTGCACTCATTACTTTATCAAAAGTTGAAGTGAGTTTATCTCCAAGGTTGCTTTGCCTCTTCATTTCTCCACTGATTTGCTTTATTTTGCTGAATTCATTATAGGCAGGTACATGGCATCCACAGTCTCTATGATCTATAATACTAATACAAGGGGAATTTCACCTACACTACCATCATTCATGCTGTATAATCTTTGTGTCGAGAAACCACAAATGTGCAATTTCTCCTTCAGATTTAATGGTAATTGATTCTCTCTAATGCTGAAGGATCCCCCGTGCCCTTGTTACTTTCACTCGGAACTCAATTTCCTAGCATCATCCTGTTCTTTGTCATATTGTACAGTATGTGTGTGTGTGAGAGAGTGAGTGAGGAGACCGAGAGAGAATGGGCATTTGCTGTGCAGCGAGTGTGAGTGTGTATGCTCTTGTGTGCGTCTGTATGAGCCGACACGGGTCTCTGCCACAGTAAATAAGAGTCATGGCCAACCTGAGCGCGGCACAATGGTTCTCCCTGCAGACCACCACTGCCTCCACCACCCCTTAAACATTTGCATTTCTCCACATTTCCTGGGAAAGGGCTGCATTTCATGAATGGTAATGAAGGTGGGAGTTTTACTGGAAAGAGCACAAGAGATGGCCTCGCAATTACTATGGGATGGTCAATTTGCACATTTCACACTGGGTCCCAGAGCTGTGATATGAAAATGAGGGAAATGGATAAGCCCCCAAGCCCTGGCTAACATCAAGAATTAATTCTGGCATTTAGAAAAAATATATAACTTTTACATCCAAATAAGCACAGAGAAAAACGAATGTGTTCCTCCTTCTCTGTGGAAGTTTATGTGTATTTATGCTGTGTGTAATGACAGAGGTCCAGGTTGAAAGCATTCTTAAATTCATTCAGCCTGTTTGTGCAAATGTGTGTGCATGTGTGTGTGTGTGTGTGTGTGTGTCAGCAAGGAAGATGAAAGTTTGTGTGCAGATAAGTTGCCCATTGAATATTCTGAGTCATGTGGCCCCGAAGCGTCATATGGACCCAGAGGGAAGGATGGAGTGTGTGTCTGGGGGGTAGAACAACAATGTGATAGAGGGCAGAGGGGGCACATGGCGAGAGGGGCTGCATAGGCTGCATCTGAACTCATCAAAGTGCCATGCACGGGCAATGCCCTGAGGGGGGTGCATCAGGCAGGGTGGAGGGCCAAGGGAAGCTGATGAAGGGGTTGGAGGTACAAGCTCACTAAATCTGTACGCGTCTACATGCTGAGGGTGGTGCAAGCCTGGATGTAATGGCATGGCAGCACTGCTGAAGAGGAGAAGCAAAGAGTGCTGCTGATGGCAGTGGTGATAGTTTGGTAAGCTAATTTTCACCAGCAACAATGAATGATCAACTAAGTAGAGATCAAAACACAAAAATGTGAAAACAAGAAAGTTGTATAGTTAAAACCACTTTAACATTTTGGTGATTAAATATTTCTGATGTTTATTTGGACCAAATTACATCCAAGTCAAGGTATATCCAGAGTCATATGTAAATTAAAATACACTTATATCCAATGTTAGCAATGCACTAATCAACCCAGTGGGAATTACATTATATTACACACTTGGTACAAGAATTAGCTTTACTGGCCAAGTATGTTCAAACGCACAAGGAATTTGATTTAAGTACAGAGGCTCTCCATGTTCTTTATCTATAAAATCACAGTAAAATCTCCCTACTTACTTTTTTCAATTTGCTTGCTGGAACACACTATGGGCATTCTTCACTGAGCCTGTTACAAATTATTATCAGAAGCACCAAATATTGCTGCACCCCAATTTTTCAATTGAGTGACGTATTTATTAACACCGATAATGTAAATGAGCACAGCTCCACCAGAGTTTGAACGCAAGAACATTTATAAGGAGCTGGTGCCTCCATTCCACAGTATGTGGAGAGGGAGCATAGAAGAAAGTAGTGTCCTGCCAGTCAAATCATCTTTTATTTTGTTTGGTAATTGAGGCATTTGACCTGAAAGCCTGTAAAAATCCCTCACAATCTCCTCTAATGTTCTTAACTCGGAAAAGGTTTCACACAAATAACTGCTGCCAGGTCTACATGATTTACACTCGTTTTCTCCTGACGTTAAATTTCAGTAGCAATGCCCCCTGCAGGAGTGGTGGTAAATCCGGTGCTGTGGGTATTTGTATAAATTTCCATTCTCTCCTTCCTTATTTTGCAGTCCCTGACCAGGAACCCCTTCGACAAAACGTACAAATTCCAGCTGTGGTGCTTTTCTTCTTTTTCTCCAAGACAAAACCCCATTGTTACCTTAGTAAATAGGAACACATGTAATGTCATTGTTTATTGTCAAAAAAGGAGCTGTAAAACCTTAGCACCGTAAATGAAGATGAACTTCGTAACTTCAGGAGCACGGCCACATCTTAACACACACCTTTTTCTGTCACCTGCTTACAAATGCCCCTCACTCCAGCCACCGAGTGCTTTTGTTTCTCCTAAAATTTTACTGTTCTTCCTCTGTCCTCTTCTCTTCTTTTCCATCCTCCTGTCTCTCCTCTTCCCTCATCTTGTTTTCCTACTTCCCATGGAGGATCTGTCACGCCCGAGAGCCACGCTGATTCTCAGGAAGACTTCCCCCAAGATGCCCTAACAGTCACCAAGTAGCATCGGTTTGAGTCACACAAACTCACCTCACCCACATTAACATCAATTAAAGACTGGTCCTGACTAGTGAAATATCCTCCTATGTGTCATAGTTCATCTTTATGTTATTCTGATGGCGTAAGTCTTCTGTTTGAGACAACCCCATGTCTGTCGATGTGTTGCATTTAGGTCAGTCATCTCATTGTCCCTAGATCCAATCCATGGGAAGGATTTGAGTCTACCCAAGTTGGACATTTTCAAGCTCTACAGACATTTGCTTTCAGCATACTGGCTACATCAAATATAGAGTAGCTTCCAGACTCTTGCGTTTCTATGGTTGGTGGAATAAAAGACAAACAATTCATGGATTTTAACTGATATTAACTGATTATTTGGGGAAGCAGAAACAAGTGTGTGAACACTGACATACTATTTGATTTTAGGCTGATGTGAAAAACTTGTTAGCAAATACCAGCATATCTGGTGAAACACAGTTAATGTTGCTGTATATTTCACAGATATGAAGCAATATTGGGATATATTTGGAATTGTGTTTCTGGCCTCCAATCAGTGATGCCAAATATTCATACTGGTTTGCTTCCCTTCAACTCCTGGGGGCAATTTCTGTTGCTTTAGCTGGTAAACATGGAGTGTTTACCAGCTACTTGCCAACCTTGTCTGTCATTTGGTGCTGGGCAGACAGATTACAGTATGAAAACCACTACCTACTGATGATGTAATGAAAATGCCACTGACACAAAACAGTAAAGTTGCAGACTATAAAAAACAAACTAACTAAAAATGAGCTGAAAGATGCTGATCTGCTGATCTCCCTCGACCTGAAGGGAAACGTAGATTGATCTGGAGGTTCATCACCACAGACAACACCTGTTACAGAAGTCTTTTAATACATTATTAATATATAAATTATTACTGCAGCTTTAGTGGTTCATAGGCCAAGACTAGGGTGGCTTATACTGTGTGTGCATTGCATATGTCTTTTCCAACTCACCGCATGTGCGTAAGAGCTGTAAGTGCTGAAGGGAAGAGCAATGGCTGGATTGAAGATGCCAAATTGCCCAACCATCTGCTGCATACGTCTGATGGTACGCTCTTTGTCTGTGTCGGCAAACTTGACCACCAAGCTGGAGGAAGCACCCTGAGAGGGCAGAGGGAACAGATAATCAGACAAAAAGAGAGCACCGACACTTAACCCTGCTTTCTGCAAATGCCAGCAATAAAGTCAATCAGAAGGTCCGCATTTACATTACAATAAGTAAAGCTAATGATAGGCAATAGCTTGTAATCAAACATAAGATCAGAGAATAACTAGCAGAACTTTGATGGTGAGGTATAAACATTACACCATACTGAAACAAAATGTCTGTTTATACTGCTTATTTTGCATTGTTTGCACTGTTTGTTGCTTGTTAATACTGCTTATTTTGCTATATTACACAGCCTTATGCTGGTTTACTGTTTACTTGCTCCTTGCATGGGGATATGTACATTTACATTGAGAGCCGATGTACCAGAGTCAAATTCCTCGTGTGTCCAACACACCTGGCCAATAAAGCAGATTCTGATTCTGAAAATATTAGACATATTTGTAATGTAAAGTGTAAATAAGAGACTTTAATTTGGGATCATGGTTGTTAGACTTGGGGCACTAAAAGTAGGATCCAGTACAGTTGTGAGATACTGACAGAAAAGTTGAGATTGAGCCCTGACATCATTTCTATCTCTTTGCTCCACCCTGGCATGAGGATAAGGACAGTACAATTAGTGCCCCTCTCTCCATCATCTTCACCTCCTTCTTCCACTCTAGAGTGAAGATATGTTACCAAGTCTTTTTTCTTTATTTTTCAAAGACACCAATGTCCTAGAATTAAGGTCTAGAACACCTTGTGTTTATTTAAAAACTATTTACTGATTATAGAGCAATACCCAAGAGTAACTGTGCTGTAACAAAAGCAGAAACATGTACAGTAGATGCTTGCACTTAATATTTATTATTTATTTATAATTATTGAGCAGGTTTGGTGGAATATTTACTGGTTGTGGTAGTCCTATCTGGTAAAAACAGCCAGGACTTTTTTTTTTGTCCCACTCTATCTCTGGAAACAGCTCTCTGTGTAATATGGTTCAACAGCAGCACAAACATCAGCCTCCAAAATGATCATATAGTTGAATCAACACCTCTCTGAAATAGCTTGAACAAAAAGGGAACATTTTAACATTTATGAAGGGAGGATTAATTGTAGGACTGTTGCCTTAGACTGCATTAGCTTTAGCTAAGTGGACCTAATAAACTGCCAAATTACAGTAGTGTATTGCGTAAAGTCACTTGAGGCAAAGTGGCCTTGCTGTGCATGAACACTTTATATTTTTACAATAGCTTTCCTTACTGGTACAGTACAGTGTATATATAAAACCTTGGTGCTCTTCCCTATGGGTGAGGTTAGACAATCTGCACACTGATTTGAAATTAAAGTTACAATTGGCTGAGGTTGCTATTGACCTTGGTGAAAGTGTTCTTCAGAAAAAATATTTCTTTTAGGGCAATTTCTGCTGTTTTGCTCTTTCTACTTCAGCATTCCACTTCTTGTCACTGTGGCAGTGGCCAGCCATCCCTTTATCAACATTACCTCTTTCTGCAGCCCAATAATGAAACCAGCAGGTGTGTCTGCCACACACCCTTCATTAAAATCTTCAAATGATTTAGCACTACAGTTGACCTTTTGCGTGCTCCGCCTCTCCTCCCCCTCTGTGCCCCCAAACTGGCCAATCGATCCACATAAAAGGCCGAAATATTACTCTGATCTGACAGTGGAGAAAGGTTGTTTGTCAGTCATGATAGGAGGCCCCTTGAAATTGATGCAAGATTGCCAATAACAGTGGTGACTGGTGAAGTGTGGGGAGTGAAGGATGGGGATTGGGCTTTTAAAGGGCTGAAGGACTAGGCTATTTCTTGGTTTGTTTGAATCTGGGTGAAACCTGGCAGGCATTGGGCTGAAATGTAGACAAGCATTTATAAATGACAAAATTGCATTATAGTTTTTCTTTCTTTTTCTTTGCATTTTTCCTGAATGAGGCTGAGGATACTGGCTAATAAAGACATCTGCTGATAGCTAGAGATGTTCAAAGACAGGCACTGGACCTTTGGATTGTGGCATATGGATTTTCTTTCTCCCCACTTTTCTCAGTATTCCCCCTAGACCTCTCTTCCAGGCTTTGCTCAGTGGTTGATTCACAGGTTTGAAGGATTGTAGGTGAGTGGCCACTTGGTTAGCTGGCTGTCTGACTATATGGCTGATTGTCTATTTAGGTGAATGATTGACTGATGGGCAGGCTAGTTGGTTAGATTGTTGGCTAACTGGTTGACAGACTAATTATTAGACTGTAAAGCCGCCTGACATCTGTACTCTGGCCAGCTGAGTGAATAATTGTTTTGCTTCTTACTGTATATGCCATACTGGCACACTGGGACAACAGTTTTCCTGGTCATTGAGAACCATGGACTGAGCCATATACATTATTTTACAACAGACAATATAAAAACAAGAGACAGAGCAACATAAACTACAAGCCATATCATTTCTGTTTCTCACTCACACAACAGGACTATGCTTAGTAACTTCAAGGTTAATTTGGGTTTGTCTGTTACACCTGTCCTGCTTTTTACTATTTGCATTGATAACTTTATTGTGAGGTTTAACTTTTGGAGCATCCAGGACTAGGCAGTGCAGGACCAGAATACAGAGGAGGAGATGTGCTAGTACATACTGAATATTTTAACTCCCTCTCACTATGAAGGCCTGCCATCTTTGGTAATGAGAGCTGTGCGTTCCTACTCTGCTTCTCTAAATTCTGGGGAAGGCTGACTTTTATAATCTGAGTTGGAGCTCTGCAGTCAACCAGCTGCCCCACTAGATCTGGAGGGGGCCTGCTTGAATAACATTTACTGTGAATTGACCAGGGTATATAAAAGCTTTGTGCCATTCCCATTCATACTCTTGCATGTATATCTCAATCTCACAAATCTTTTTTCAAAGAGGTCTATACAGTGAGTTTGCCCTCCCACTGCTTCTCCTCAGGACACCTGAATGTCATAGCTTATGGCTAAGCAATTGTTGCCACATTTGTTTATCTCCCAGGTTTTCCCATTTATGCCTTTCAAGTTATCAGTGAGCAGAATCTTCATTACTAAAAAGAGAGAAGGATGAAGTGTGAAGTAAAAGTCTCATTAAATTTTAAAGCTGCCAAGAGTGAGCAGAATCCCCCTGCTGTGAGGCTCCCAGCTGCCTGGAGAGTCACTGTAGGAAGGGGAGTTAAACAAGGAGGATAACAGAGATTCAGAACCACGAGGAAAGCTTCTTTACAGTTCTTCCTCATTGCCAGTGAGAGTTTGTGTGTGCCCAAGCTATACACCTTTATGCGAATACAGGTGATAGTTGCATGTGCAGTTATATATGCCATATTTCTTTGATTTGTACTCTTTGCTAACTTGCAAGGGTGAAGCCAGAAGCAAAGCTGGCCCTGTGTTTTGTATTGGCACACAACTGCACTGGTTTCAAGTGGTGAAAGTCTGAATGGTGTCCCTGTCTATGTGGGTTAGTCATACTGTTTTATGATTCTTTTCAAGTTCTAGAACAAGAACTAAATTTAAGAATATATGAGATCTTTATGATAAATGTGATTTCAGCCTTCTTACAAGAGATGTTATTTTTTCATCACTGACTGCAAAATAAAATCGACCACTTTTGAAAGTACATTGCCACTAAAGCTGTCTGTTTCTCCAAAACATATGGCATCACATTCCATCCACATTGCCTAAAATTGATTGAAAAACTATTTTATACTCAAGACATTACAACTTAGTATTAAAAATTCATTTGACCAGAGTGGTTCACTCAATAATGTGAGTATGTAGCATGTGTTGCTCTTCTGAAAATCATTTGATGTGTTTGAAGTTCAGCATAGCATAGATTGTAATATACTGTATATAATCCATTCAAAAGGTAAAAATCTGACTGCTTTATTCTGTTCAAAGTAGCACACAGCAATGTTTAATGCACTTTCCACGATACTGTGTCATGCTTATTACTGTATTCAAATAAAGCACCCCCCTCACACACACTTTCTTTCAGCTGGTAAACTAATGGACGACTATATGTCACAACTGGGTGCTGGTGGTGGACCCAATATATTCAGACACACACTGGGAGTGGAACACAAAAAGTGTTTATTGAACAAAAGGACAGGTTACTGGGTGCAGGAGAGGTAAAGCAGGTACTGGCTGGGAAAGCATTGCAGAGGAAGAGCAGGTACCGGGAGATGAGACGATATACTGTAGCTGCAGGGTAGCAGATGACTGGAGAGGCACGGAGAGATGAGGAATGAGCTGGCTGGGGTGCAGGAGTGAAGGGGAGTCGCCACACAGGTAAGCTCAAACACTGGCACTCATGGAGAGATATGGAAACAGCTGTCACAGCATTGATCAGGAATGAAAGCGCCAAGGTCTGTTCAGGAAAGACCGTTCAACGATCTGGTGGAGAGTACACAATGAACCAGCGGCAAATTAGCGGAAAAGAAGCGTATATGTAGGAGACTGAACCGGGCGATAACGAACCGCAGGTGGATGCAATGATGGCAGATTACACTGGTTGAGGACGTGATAGGGGAGACTGGGAAATCCGGGGAAAAAACAACAGAAAATCAGGAAGCGTAAGTCCAAACCATGAAACTGTAAGATATTAGGTTATTACAGTGTAAATTGCATGGGCTGGAAAATCCACTGAGAGGGATGACAAATCTTAAACAATAAATCCTAACTAAAAAGTATTGAGTAGCAACACAAAGATTAATCACACTTGTGAAATACTGACATTAAAACTCTACAACTCATTGAATACACAATGACATCATTACTGTAGCTGAAATCAGTCTTTAAAAGGCAGCATTGTTCACCTTTTCTTATTATTTTTAGTATTTAGAGTAAGTCACATACTGATACTGATGGTATACTGGTACATACATTTGACAAGTATTAAATCCTGGCACTTTTAACCTTCTTTGCTCCTCTCTTCAGTCTCCATCATCAAGCTCTCGCTTCTATGCAAACTTTCCCTCATTTGCTTTAATTTGTTCTGCTCTTAT